TCCAGCGCCGTGGGGAGCTGGTCTTGCTCGCGGCAGAGGCGGCCGCGGGTGTGCTCGGGAGAAGGGCCGCCCAAGGCTGACCTCATGGCCTTCAGTCCTTCTGTTCCTCCTGGTTCAAGTTCTGGAGATGTTGACAATCAAATGGAGATTTGCTCAAATGTAAGTTCAGTAAATCTGAGATTTATTTTATGCTTATAACATCAACCACGTAATAGATAATCGGTTTATTTTTTGCCCTTTTGTTGGGATGATTTATTATAAAGTTCATGGGATGTCCAGTTATTTTCATTCTTTCATTATAGTAATAAACAGCATTAGAACATTATTTGTTTGATATTATTATTATTAGTAGTAATAATAATGAAAAGAAGTCCAAAACTTCCCTTCTTTTAAATGAAGAATGTTAAGTTATCTCAGAATCAACCAGCAATCACTGATCAAGCCTGCAGGTAAAGCTCAAATTATCTTCTTATATTTGCAACAAATTCATACTTTCCATTTATTTTCTTATTCTGATATTGTTCTCTATACATTATATATTTAAATTATCATAATAATGCTACTTATAATTTTGCTTTGGAAAAAGCGTTGTGATTATCTTGATCAGTAATTTTGTACAATGTTCTAATAGAGGTCGATATTAAAAATATTATTTTGTTAGGTGATATTTTCTTTTTTTTTTATTCATACATATAAAGCTGGGGTACAGGCCAGAGATGCGGAGGGTGAGAGGATTCACCAGGGACAGAGAGGGGAGCAGAACAGGCAGATCTACGAAGTAGACCGCTGAGGGGAGCAGCTGGCGGGCCAGGAGAGGTCTGCCAAGCCATGTGGATCTCCTCTGGGGCAGGTAGGGATCGAACTCATGTGGAAATGGCTTAAGCTTCTTAATGCTGTGCTTTAACCCGCTGCGCCATCAGGGAGGGCCCTGTTAGGTGATATTTTCCTTAGAGTTTTTTGTCATAATTATCATTTGTCTTTTCAAATTTATTTTAGTGGGAAAAATTTTTTAATGATTTTTAGATCCAGTTATATATATTGTATTGCATTTGATAATTCATATCCTCTAGTTTTATGAGTTTTTTTTAAGATTTATTTATTTGTGCATACAGAACTGGGGTATAGGCCAGAGGTTCAGGGGCGGTGAGAGAATTCACCAGAGACAGAGTGGGGAGCAGAACAGGCAGATATACGAGGAAGTACACTGCTGAGGGGAGCAGCGGGCGGGCCAGGAGAGGTCTGCCGCGCCATGTGGTCACCTCCGGGGCAAGTGGGAATCAAACTCACGCGGAATTGGCTTCAGCCTCTCAGTGCTGTGCTCTAACCCGCTGCGCCACCTGGGAGGGCCTCTAGTTTTATGAGTTTTAATGCACATATGATACTGTACTGTAAGGTGTACAACACAGTTATTTGATATATGTATATATTGCAAATAATATATCCATTGCTGCACATGGTTATATATATATTTTTTGTCATGGGAATTTTAAAGATCTATTTTATTGTTTTGATATATATTTATTTATGCATATAAATAAATATTTATGCATATAAGAAACACGCTAGAGGTGGGGAAGGTGATGAGAGGATTTATCAGAGACAGTGGGGGAGCTGAACAGGTGGATTGATTGAAATACACTGCTGAGGGGAACAGCAGCATAATAGGAAGGTCTTCCATGCCTTGTGGGTCACCTCTCTGTCCAGGGATCGAACTTGTGGTGCAGTGTCTGTAGGTACTTTAAATCAGCGCTGCACTTTAAATCACTGTACCACCAGGGAGGTCGAAAGATCTGTTTTTTGGTAACTTTCAAATATGCATTATAGTATTATAACTATATATTATATATTAACTATATAACTATAACTATATATTATAACCATCCTATGTATTGTATCCTCAGGATCCACCTTATAACTGGATCTTGACCTTTTGACAACTTTCACCCATTTTCTCCACTCCTATCCACCTTTGATAATTATCCACTTATTTTATGTTTCTACATGTTCTATTTTTTAGATTCCACATATATGAGATCATACAGTATCTTATATCTTTCAGATACTATATGACCTTTCAAATGCATTGATGCATTTCACTTAGAACATCTATATGTACACATTGTTTTTAGGTTAAGGCTTTCTAAGCCATGAACTCATTCTAAAACTATACTTTTTTACTCTTCCTCTACATTTTATATTTTTGATATCATTTTACTTCTTCATATTATATGCATCCATTGACTAATTATTGTAAATTTAAGTTAATTTTGTTTTTTTAATCTTTAGCTGGCTTTGTAAGTACTTGATCCACTACTTTTACTCTACCTCTACCTTTTCATCAGTGAGATATTTTTTATTTCATATGTTTTCTTGTGAGTGCCATATTTTTTTGGTTTCAAGAAGTTCTTTTAATATTTCTTACAAGACTGATTTAGTGATGATGAACTCCTTTAGCTTTTGCTTAAGGTATAATTGGGACACTCTTAAGCTCTCCAACTTGAATGCTAACCTTGCTGGGTAAAGAGTTCTTGGTTTAGTTTTTTTTTTTTTTCTTTTCAACAATCTGACCCTGTTATGCTACTTTCTTCTGCTCTCTAAAGCTTCTGTTGAAAATCTGCAAATGGCTTTACCACATTTTCCTGGATTGTGGCAAACTGCTTTTCACTTAGTTTTGAAGATTTTCTCTTTAACTTCTACCATTTATTTATTTATTTTTAAAGTGTATCTATTTATGCATATAAGAACTGGGGTAAAGGCCAGAGGTGGGAGGGGAGTTGGGGGTGTGTGTGAGAGGATTCACCAGAGACAGAGTAGGAAGCAGAACAGGCAGATTGACTGAAATATACTGCTGAAGGGAGCAGCAGGTGGATCAGGAGAGGTCTGCTATGCCATGTGGGTCACCTCCATGGCTGGGGATCAAACTGGGTGCTGCAGTGGCTATAGACAGCTTCAATTTAACCCATTGTGTCATCAGGTAGAACCCCATCTCTACCATTTTAATATAATATGTCTTGGTGTGAATCTCTTTGGGGTCCTTTTGTTTGGACCTTGGTAGGATTCTGTGTTTGGATATCTGTTTCCTTACCCAGTTAGGGAATTTTTGGCCATTATTCACTCAAATAATTTTCCTGAGCTTCTTCCTCTTTCTGCTACTTCTGTGAATGCTACAATGTGAATATTATTCCTCATGGTATTGACTTAATACCATAGAGATAGGGATTTACATCAATTAAGCAGTAAATAAAAATTATCTTGTAAGAACTTCGGATTAGTTGGTTGGAAGTGATATTAATAAGAATCATTTAATATGAAAAAATACAGAAGACTCTTGTCTTTATTTTTCTTGCAGGAAACCAAAGCCATGTGACACATGAAAATGAATTTGTCCCTTATGCTGTGAGTAGGGATAATGCTTTTAACATATGTAGGTGGTCATATAATTTTGAACATCCTGAACATAAAGGAGTTAAAATGCTTTTCCTAAATTGCAAATTTTGATAATAGCTTTCAAAGTATATATTTCTCATGAAAATATTTCAAAGTGTGACTCTTTCAAGAGTCAGTCTTCAGTATTATTGTTTCTGAGTGGTTATTGTCAACTGAACAAATTATTTTTGATCAATGACTGTATAGTTGAATAAATCATGGTAGTCACTATAGACATCACTGAGTACATACTGTATTTTAAAACTACAGTGTTGGATAATATTTCTGATCTGTTGATTTTGAAGACACTCCTAGAGATCCAAGAATGGCTTCATGATTTATTTCTTTGTTCTATGTTTTCAATAAATGATAGCACTAGACCTCCTGTGGAATCTAATGGATGATGAGGACTAGTAGAATGCTGAATCTTGCACTCTTAGTGAAGATATAGGTGGAATTTAAGACTAGTCAGATTGGGTTAGTAAAGGTGAAGTAAAAAGTTCCTCACTCTTTTCAAATAATTTTATACCATACATTAAATGTAAATTAATTAACATTAATAATGATACTGATAGGTTTTCTTGGCATTAGCCTATTAGATCTCAAGCCCATACTCAAAGATGAATTCAGAGAGGTTGGCTGTGATATCTGAACTATCAAAGCCAAATTAAAAGATGTGTTATAGGACCACATACTATATCAAACTCTTTTATGACTCGATGGTCATCTGGTGTCACTTCATATACTCACAAAAATTCACATCACTGGAGAGTAATTCCTAAATCAAAATCTTGGTTTAACTCAAACCCATGATATCATCATCTCCTTTAGGTAAACTTCCTAATGTTCATCTAGCTACCTTTTGAAGACTCCAAATGCATCTAAATATCAATCCCCAAGTTTCAAACTGAGGTGTTTGGAGGTCTGTTGCTTCTTCCTTTTTCCCCAAAATAAATGTCAGGATTTGATTGTCATGTTAAATCTAATGGTATTTGGTATCATACTATGTTTTTACTAGAGGCTCATAGGACTTATTGCTGTGTTATACATCACAGAATTTGGTGTCGTAAAAGGTGATGAATATGGATTACTGGTTTTTAGAGAAAGAATACTGAACTTATTTTAATGAGTTCTAGAAGAATGATAGAGTCAGGAAAAGAGTAAATTTGAAACAAGTGAAAGATTAGAAATTATAAAGGAAACTATACAAGTAGAAGGCAAATCCACATAGATAATATAATATACACAATGTAAAGACTAAAGACTTATTATTAAACTTTATATTTTTCTTTGAATTTCCTAGTAGCCAAAGTAATAAGAGAGACTAAAAGTAAAGCAATTCATATTTGAGTTTTATATAAGGAACAAAATTTATATGAGGAAATATTTAATCCTACTTTTCCATATAAGCTACCTATAGAATTGAACTTCCTTGTGTGCATGTAGATTTGTACATATGATACAGTTATAGACAGATAAGTATACATATAAATGAGAAAGCAAACATAAGCACAAAAATTTGAGCTTAATGTTAACTATAAAATGCCATTTTCCATTCGATCAATTTTATTAAGATTTAAAATCTACAGGTTCTATAAATAGCATTTGAAGGATTATTTTCAAGATAAACTAACATGAAATAGACTGTGAAGTTAATTTTTTTTCTCTTTAAGTAAAATTTTCTTTTTAAGTAAAATTCTGTGGTATTGGGCTTCGACTATGGTACTTACAATTTCAGGCACATGGTGTCGCTCTTTACTCGGTGGAAGTATTGAATAGTTGATTCAAGTGTTGGTCTCAACAGACAGGAATTCCCCATACAAAAGGACTCCATCATGCAGGATGCTAATGTTAAAGGATCCTTTGAAACTTCTCAAAAATATATCAAGATTTTAAATCTGAAGCTGAATTCTCTGAAACTGTAAGTGTAAATAATCTTATTTTGGATGTTAAAGTCGTGTGCGATGTTCGGATCTCAAAGAAGGGGAATATTTCCTCAGCGACTGCTGATGTCGCTTCTGCTCCTCTCAGCCTGGGAGGCGGGGAGCGGCCAGGTCCGCTACTCGGTCCCCGAGGAGGCCAAACACGGCACCTTCGTGGGCCGCATCGCCCAGGACCTGGGGCTGGAGCTGGCCGACCTGGTGCCCCGCCTGTTCCGGGTGGCGTCCAAAGGCCGCGGCGACCTTCTGGAGGTAAACCTGCAGAATGGCATTTTGTTTGTGAATTCTCGGATCGACCGGGAGGAGCTGTGCGGGCGGAGCGCGGAGTGTAGCCTCCACCTGGAGGTGATCGTGGACAGGCCGCTGCAGGTTTTCCACGTGGAGGTGGAGGTGAAGGACATCAATGACAATGCGCCCCTGTTCTCTCTTAGCGAACAAAAGTTGCTGATTTCTGAATCTAAGCAACCCGATTCTCATTTTCCTCTGGAGGGAGCTTCTGATGAGGATATAGGAGAGAACGCTCAGTTGACCTACAGACTAAGTCAAAATGAATATTTTTCGTTGGAATTGCCAACAAATAGCAAGTCAAGTAAAAGACTATCACTTACATTAAAGAAATCTCTGGACAGAGAGAAAATTCCTGAACTTAATTTGCTACTGACTGCTGTGGATGGTGGCAAGCCTGCACTCACAGGCACAGTTCAGCTCTTTGTGGTTGTCTTGGATATTAACGACAATGACCCAGAATTTGATCAATCAGAATACAAGGTAAGACTGATGGAAAATGCAGTTAAAGAAACTTTTGTGATAAAGGTAAACGCTACAGATCGAGATGAAGGCACCAATGGACAGGTAGCATACTCCTTGAGGTCGATTAAGCCCGATGGAAAAAACTTGTTTACACTGAATGAAAATAGTGGAGAAGTCAGGGTCAATGGAACTTTAGATTATGAAGAAAATAAGTTTTATGAAATTCAAGTACAGGCCACAGATAAGGGGACTCCCCCGATGGCAGGTCACTGTACGGTCTGGATAGAAATCTTAGATGCCAATGACAACGCTCCTGAAATCGCCGTGACTTCTTTGTCTTTCCCAGTACGAGAGGACACGGAGCCCAGTACAGTCATTGCACTTATCAGTGTGTCAGATCGCGACTCTGGGGCCAATGGGCAGCTGACCTGTTCTCTGACACCCAACGTCCCCTTCAAGCTGGTGTCCACCTTCAAGAACTATTATTCGCTTGTGCTAGACAGCGCCTTGGACCGCGAGAGTGTGTCGAACTATGCTCTGGTGGTGACCGCGCGCGACGGGGGCTCGCCCCCGCTGTCGGCCACGGCCAGCGTGT